CACCATCGGCGGCGGCAGCAACGGCGCCGTAAACACTGAGCATGCTCACTGCGTGTGACGTCGTCGTGTCCTCTTCTGCACATGCGGGACACTTCATTCTCATGTTACAACAAATCTTATAAGACCAGTTTGTAGATTTTAGTGGCATCTAGTGCCGAGGTTGTAAGAGGCCCTAATGTGGCTGCTACTGCAGTGGTAAAATGCAAAATGCCGTCTGTAGAGCCAGCGGCAGGTTTGTCCGTTCAGGGCTACTGTAGACTGATGGCAGCAACATGGAGGAGGACCAGCTCCCAATGTGGATATGAAGGACTTATTGTCAGCAGAGTTACAGGTGATTATACACCAATAAACAGTAATGAATATCATATATGAGTTCTGCTAATAAAAGTTTCTAAATCCGTATTAAGTTAATTTATTTTAGTTACTTTTTGTTTCTGCTGCCCCCAAATGGCCAACAACGCTTATTTAAAGTTTTAATGCAAAGGATTTTCAAATACAGATTTGTAATAGAGCAACAGATAAAAATCTACTGGGCCTTATTGCACAAGTTAAATTTGATTGTGTTGTTAATTGCTAATATTTTAATAATCGTAAGACCGGCTGTTTAAACACCCCGATACCTGCTGAGCCGTCGCCCCACGTGTTTCCAGGAATGTTTTTTTTTCTCAACAACCTTTTTCCTGGAAGCTGAGCCAAAACACACTCGCACATGCAGACACAAACCTGCCAGACAGGCCTCATCAAAGCCCTGATAGGTGATCTATGAATCGCTGTTCACGTTCAACCGAGTAACAAACGCACGCAAACCGTCTGAACACATGCTCAGTATTGCGACGCATAAATTTAAGCTTTGTGTGAGTGCTGACACCAATCTGCTGCCTGTTCCAGGAGTGTGTGTGTGTGTTTCCCTCAGCGATGAATGCAGGACTCATTAGAATTGCTGTCATGTCGCAGCGCTGCCTGCAGCATTTCATCTAAAGCACAGTGGAGCAGCCAGTCAGATTTCAGCATCGAGGAGAACCACTCAAGATTAAAAAGTCCAAAATACCTTGCTCTGTTCCCTGCTCAGCCTGTTGCGATGTTTGAAAATGTGCTTCAGAGAGGAAGAGCAGCATGGAATAAGATAAAGTTGTCACAACCTCTTTGTAAGTACTTGAGAGATTCTTTAAATAGTAATACTATCTCCAAGTGAAATCTTCTGTAGATCAAAGCTACGTTTGGATTTATCTTGACAAAAGGTGCCATCTGCAGCCGGATATATTTGGCTGCATTTGTTAAGAAAATGTACATGAGTCCTGAGAAATAGTGGGTACTGTTTTGTGCTTTATTCTCTTTGTCTTTTTATTTATTTTTGACTTATCAAGAGCTTTTTCTACAGGACACATAGTGAGTAAAGAAAAATAATAAAATGACAGAAACAGAAGAATGCATTAATAAAATAGCAGAATTGTGATCAAGTGGCAAAACAGGGTGATTAAATCAACATAAACACAACAAAGTGAGCAACAGAACATCCATCTGTACTTGTTTTTTTAATTAAAGAAGCCACAAATACGACACTGACACTGTATCTACACATCTAGAGAACAGCATTAGTTTCATTTCTTTCTGCCCAATGTTTGCTCTGTTTTGTTCTCCACACACTCCTGATTACAATGTCTGGCTCTCTACTAGTTAAGCCTCGATTTCACTCCCTTGCAGATGTGCTCACAGACAGCTGCAGACACAACACTGGTGTAGGTATTACTGCTTTCTCGTCTGCCGTCCCATACGTGTGCACTCGGTCGGCGTCTGCATGTTCAGCACTTGCATACTATTGTGCACTACTGCCCTTGTAGCACAGACAGATGTTGGACTCACATCTGCAGAGAGGTCCATGTGAGCTCCTGCACACTTTGGCAGATGACAGATTTTACGACTTGCTGACACAGAAGGTCACTGGTGTTATACTTTCTGCATCTGCATGTATTTCAACCCCTCAAGTGTGTGAAAGTCCACACAGACTCCTCTATAGACGTCTACAAGCAGCTCAAGATTTGTGTCCACGCCAAATGACAGGTTTCCAGCTATCACATGATGTTAACAGACAACATTTATTGTGAAAGGGTTTAAAACATTGATCTTTCTTGATTGTAAATAATCTGTATCAGTGTTGTTATCGGCCATGAAGAGAGCGTATCGTTAGTTCGTGCTGCACAGGTGGATTACAGTGACTTTACTGCTAAGCAGGCTGGCTGGAGATGAGCTTCAGGATAATAGTGGAGTTTGCATCCCAAAGAACCCAAACGTTAATCGAAAAGTGAGTAAAAGGCTGCATTGATCTCCGGGGAACAGCAGAGTCAGCTGATAGCTCTCTGTGGGTTCTTAGTGACCCCTTAAAGTCACGCCTTGTTATTTCTGCTTCTGTAAAAAGATCCGTTGGTGAAACAGGGATCATGCCAGCACAGCGTCACGTTTGTCTGAAACAGCTTCAATGCAAAAAGCAAACCTTAAAACGGAATAACGACTTAAAACAAATCTATTCTTTGAAAGACTCTCTGGACTTTTTTCTCTGAAGCCGTCTCTCTCTGCATGTGTCCCTCTGGTCGCTGTTCCAGGAATCAGAGGAACACGCTGAGCTGCAGCGTGAAGATGTTTTTATGTGACAGGTGTTTACTGGATCCACGAAGCTCACAGAGATGCTCTGTGATTTACAGTAACGCGCCGCGGCAACCACGGTGACACCTTGGTAGAAATTTACAGCCTGCAATGGCTTTGACCTCCGTGTGTGTGTGTGTGTGTGTGTGTGTAGGTGTGTGTGTGTGTGGTCACATTTGTAAGCATGTAAGCAATATTGAAAGTGATGAGATGGACAGTAACCTTGTGTAAAATGATGTGCAGCATTCTGCTCTCGTCTGTACGCTCTTCTACATTTCTAACACATTCGACTGCTTCAGACACCTAAAAAAAAACAACAACCAAATGGTGTGTTGTCTGATGACTGCTGTGATACTGAACAAGCCTGCGTGCGATGTTTGGAAGGTGCCCCACTTTCCGGCTCCCCTGACAGCTAACGCCTCGCTGATTACAGGGCTGCTGTGGGATGGACATTCTCTCCAGGCTGCTGTCATTATTATTCAGGACTTGGTAAACAGTTTTCACAAAGTGTCGTCTGACAGCGGGGCCGGGTCTGGGGTTACGCTGGTTACACATCGCTTGGTCCTCTTTAAGCTATTTGCACCGACATATCAGCGGGAATGTGAGCCTGAGCAGGGCCGGTGAGTGATGAAGGAGGCGTCAGAGCCAAGATGAAGTTCGTTTGGAGACAAAACATTGCAGTTGTTTCAGACTGTGTTTTTTCCATGACGTTATCCACACCGGAGGAAATATACACTGAGCATTTCTTCCCCCCTCTGGCTGCTGCATTAAGGTGGCTGTGTTGTAATGTCACATCACTGTGCGGCTACAGTGGAGCTATTTTAGGTTTGACTTCTACACAGAAGCTGAATTCATGGCTGCATAGTTGTGAGTTTCAGCCATCGTGCTGTAAACCTTCTTTTACTTTCCAAGCGTGTGGGCGTCCCTGAGACCCGGGCCGTGTCGCCAACACTTGACAAACATCTGCAACGTGTTGAGTTGATTCAGCGGAGCGTCGCCGTGCGTGTACGTGACAATTCAGACCGTGTATACAATGCGTGGCCTCTGGTCTTGGCAGGGCAGGATTATTTCTGGCCGTCTCGTGTTGTGAGGCGAAGGGGCGTGACATTTAAATCTGTCCCATCGAGAAGGACAATTCTGTGTGTGTTGGAGCAGGAGGGGTAAGACTTTTGGAGGAGGGGGCGGGATTACCGAAAATGTTAGAAATGTCATCGCTCCTCACATTGTTTTACTTTGAAAAGGTGACTCACCCACTGTCTCTCTCTCCCCCTGTCTGTCTGTCTGTCTGTCTGTCTGTCTGTCTGTCTGTCTGTCTTTCTGTCTTTCAGATAAGCTGTTTGGAAAGCGGCTGCTGCAGGCCGGGAGACACATAATGTCTCATAAGTCTTGGATGAAAACGGTGCCCACAGAGAACTGCGATGTCCTCATGACATTTGCAGGTCAGACACACACACACACACACACACACACTCTTTTTGTTTGTATTTATACGTGTGAGAACCCTCAATGACATCCCCCTTACACATCATTAGCTTTTTAATGGTCTCATTGTTTTTTAATCTGCCAATTATTTTAGGAGACAGAGAGAAATGTCAGCCATAATGGCATTAATTGCTGTCTACACAAATCCTCTTATCTGAGAAGCGGGAACCGGCAAATATTTGGCATTTTTTCTTCTGAGTAATTACAGATTTTCCTTTTTAAACTATTGACAGTTAATCGACTAATTGCTTCAGCTCCACGTAAACCTAAAACAAACACTCGAAACAATCCTTTGAGGAAGTGAGGGGCCGGCTATGACGTCCTCACTTTCCAATATATTTATTTTAGGTGCTAAATATTGCTCAAGTACTGGAGCACACACTGATATATTTACTTTATGCAATTAAATGCAAATGTGCCCAGTGAAGCACCCTTTCATTTTTATTTTATTGCACCAACAGCAGCGCCACAAAATGTAAATGACAGTTTTATTCCATATTTTCATTTAGAATTTGTTTTCGTCCTCCAGGCATTGAAGGAAACAATAATCCTCCATTCCTTTAATTTTTTTCTTTTAACTATTATCTGCAGCAGGAGGAGGAGAAGAAGTTATTCTTAAGTGTTCGGTAGTATGACTCTTCACCTCCAGCTGCTGCTCCGCAATAAATAGCAAAAGACTGTGGGAGTACTCGGCAGCTCCTGCACACAGCGATGCGTGGGTATGCTTCAGAACGTATTCTTGTCTTTTTGTTTCCTGCCACAGACACTACAGATGACCACACGTTACTATGGCTACTAAACCACATCCGGCTGGGAATCCCGGAGCTCATCATCCAAATCCGGCATCATAAGCACACACGAGTCTACGCATTCTTCGTCACCGCTACATACGAAAAGTAAGAAATCTGAACCTTAAGGAGTCTCATTTTTTATGTGCTTAAGCTTATCGACGACGGGGCTGCAGCTCATGATTATTTTCACTGTTGATAATTCTTCTCTATTGTTTTTTGATTAATCAACTCGTTGCTTTGTCGATAAAATTTCATAAAATAATGAAAATATTCCAGATATGTAACACTTATACTCATTTAACAGCCACATAGAGCAATTATAATCTACAAGATGTCACACTGGAGCATAAATGTTTGTAATTTGTACTTGATAAATGATTTAATCTGTCAAAACTCTTAATTTTACCACCAGGTTTGTTTGTTTTTTTAATAGTAGGTGCTTTTATATAAATGGAGATATTAAGAAATTAGTTTATTTCTTCTCTTTTTTATTGAGAGGGGCAAAAGTGATGCATCTCATGTCTTTGAGCTCCATATGAAGGTGCTTAGTAACAGCTGGACTGTCCAACAACATCTGGATCTGAGTCTCACTCACAAAAACTTGCTTCATGTTCATCCTAAACTAACAAAGTCCAGGCCTTAGCTCTGTGTAGTTCATCTACAGGGTTTCTCGTGGCTCACGGTGTTGCCTGGTGACTACACACAGCAGTAAGCATAGTTTATCAGAGTACAGTGAAGGCAATAAGTCTCTGACAACATTTCTTACCATTAGATGAACAAAAATGTCGCTTATGTTGGACAAATGAAACCCCGCCCAACAGCACTGGTGTAAAAATGGAAATGTTTATTCTGAATATCAGATCTCATCATTTTGGAGCCTCTGACTTTCCTTTGTTTCCAGTTTAAACCTCCTTGAAGTTCCTCTTTGCAGGAAAACCCCTGATGCAGCTGCAGTGAGAGAAATATCGATCTTCTCGTAGGACTCTCACAGAGGAGAGCATTTTTACAAAATACTTGTCTTCCTTTTAAATTGAATGATTTATACCCAGATGTGTTTATTCAGAAATGTTCTTTTGGCCGTTTGTGTCTGCACTGTTGGTCTCAGCTAACGAGCTGTAACTCGTTAACAAAAAAAAGAACAAACTGCCTTATAAATACGACTGGGTAACACGTCTTCCTTCCGTAGTTTGAGGTGAAGTTACTGCTAAATGATCCCACTTGAGCTGGGATGTATAGACCGAGATAACCCGGCTTCCTCTCTTCTGTGTCATGGTTTTATATTTAGCTGCAGCTATTGTCGGCACTGCAGTTTAGCTCATATACAGTGAATCGTTAGTGAAGCTGCCGTGATGGCTGGTGTATCAGCACTACCTCCCCGCTGCAGGTTATTTAAAGTTTTGCAGAAGGTTTAGGGTCAGGCTAAACTGCGAGGATCGTGCTCGCTCTGATTACACGGCCCGGTCGCTGTCTATTGTTTAGAAACAAATCCTCAGGGGAACTGGGGATGAGCTCGGGGTCATTTTAATCCCCGCGTTGACTTTGGTGTATAAATACTGAGAAATACAATCCAGGGGATCAGAGCAGCAGTCGTTCCATACTGCGTTTCACCTCTTGACAAATGTTGAATCCTCTTTGCTGACTGTGCATTTAACAATGGGCCTCTTGGAAAGCAAAAAATCCTTTTAACCATGAATGGAACAGAAATGGACAGATGGCCAGAAGGAGAGAAGAAAGAAGCAGAAGGAGTGATGGAGAGAGACAGAAGCAGCGATACAGAGAAGGATGGAGGCAGATAGAGAAAAGCAGGGAGTGAGGAGAGGTGATGCGGTGGGCAGATGGGTAGAGTGCTTCCTGAAAGTGTGCCAGTGGGTTTTAGATGAAATGCTCAACGAGAATGATTGCTGCGTGACCCAATCGCACTCTCTCTCCTCTGCTTGTCCCTCTGCACAGCATACAGACACACCTGCTGGTGGATGGGTTGACCTACATTTTATGTGATAGAAACAATAACCCAGAAAATCTTCCATCCTCTTGAGTCCGCCTCGGACAGTCGTTGCCTTTGCATGCTGAAGCAGTGAGAGCTTCTTCAGGTGTGCCATTCATCGTATGTAGCCACGTTTGGTGTCCTCACATCAGTTGAATTGCATTTCTCTATTTTCAAGAGAACAGTTGCCAGTGTAGATGTTCTGGGTGTGAGACCAGCGCCGGGGCAGCCGGGGACTCGAGCTCGGTGGGGTTTTGTTTTCAGAAAGGCTCCATTTGTTGCTTTGAAAACAGCTTCAGCAGAAAGCACAATTGTAGCAGTTAGCATAGTCGGTGTGACATGAACGTCCTCGTCCTCTTTTCTTACCTGACACGCCATCCATTACTCACTCCTCAGCTCTGACTGGGCAATTTACACCACTGCTGTTCTGCTGAGTTTCTACATTACGTCTGATAGATATTTGCTAAATTAGCATAAAGCTTACATGCAGAGCTTCTCCCTCAGCAGTATTCTGCTCTATTACAAGGTTGGCTTTGTCCACACATTGCCTCTGACTGCATCTCCACATTAGGACTCCTGGTATTTGGGGGAGAGCGAGTGTAAAAGGCGATGGAGTTTTTGATTAAATAAGTGGGGGTGAATCTCATTAAGATTCCTGGCAGCAGCAGCAGCAGGAGCCGCACACCTCTAAAAGGCCTTATAGTTACTGGCTTAGATTACTAAACAGTTGGTTTAAATAGGCACAGCCTTGTTTTTTCCTCAGACAAGGACTTTTATTGTGATGGCGCTGCGCACTAAGCATTACTCAACAGCGATACAGAAGCTTGCACCTCATATTTCTGCTGTAATCCATCATGATGCTGTCCACACTTCCCTGCACTGCCCCTCCAAGTGCTGGGAGCTGCGTGATGGATGGACGTTACAGGCCCACCTCGGCTGCGTGTAGACCATATGTATGTATATGTACATGTGGGAGTGAGGCGAGCTGGTGGCCTGTAGGGAACAGAGGGTGCGGTGCTGCATTATTATTGCGATTTCAGCACAAGGCCGCTGGGAAGGACAGAAAGAGAGGAGAAAGGGATGATGGGATGAAAAAGGGGGGGGCAGGGGCGGGGGTGAAGGAGAGGAGAAGACTGATAGAAGAGTGAAGGGGGATGGAGGCGGAGAGGAAACCGAGAGAGGAGGAGGAGGAGGGATGAAGAGAGGAGATGTGGAGGATGAGTTGATGGGAAACGAGATGATGAGAGAGAGTGACGAGGTTACAACATTAGAGGAGAGTTCAGATGACTTTATCACCATGAAGGACGATCCGTCTTCGTGTTTTCTGTAACTGGTCTTATCAGTATATAAAAGTGGAAAATGAAAATGCTGCAGTTACACGGAAATGGATCCTATGCAGGCAAAAAGGAGTTTACGGATGATTGTTTAATTCAATCTAATTGTTCAGTATGGAGTGGTGAGAGTGCCAAATTACAAAAATAAATCAATAGAAGAATTTTTAAAAAATAAAAGAGGAAATAAAAAGAAGAATAAATATAATAATAATTAATAATTTTGTTATTTTTAAATTTTAAATTTAATTTTTAATTTTTTACCATTTGAATTTTTTATTTAATTTTTAAAT